GGATGGATATTTATTTATGATCGTGTTGGCTCACATGATCATGGAGGCGGCGAAGTCCCAGGCGAATTCCCAGTCTTCTGCAGGCTGGAGGAACAGGAAAGCCAGTGATACAATTCAGTTGGGTCTCGAAGGTCCAAGAACCAGGAGTGCAGATGCCTGGGGTCAGAAGAAGATGGCTGTCCCAGAAAAAAAGCGAATTCGCCCTTTCTGCACCTTTTTGTTTTGTTCAAGGGCCCTCAGCAGATTGGATGGTGCCCCCCCGCCCCCCGCACTGGGGAGGGCAGTCTAGACTCCATCTGCCCATTTGAGTGCTGACCCCACCCAGAAGCACCCTCACAGACACACCCGGAAATAGTGCTTCCCCAGCTGGCTGGGCTCCCCCCCCCCCCCCATCAACCTGACACAGACATTAACCCTTTCTGTCGGCTGACCTGAAATGTCCTTAGGGCATTGCCAGCCAGCACAGGCCAGCCTGCAAACAGGTGTTGCATTTGGGCGTCCTGTCTCCTTAGCCTGCTTTCTTCAGGCACGTCCCCCTAGTCTGACTTTCAGGACATTGGCGTCGTGAAGAGTACAGCCTTCCTCGCTTTCCTTTTATCTCTCACTTTGTGCTCCTCGGCTGTTTCCTGTCTGTCCCCTGTGGGTCCTGTGTCTTGGCCGCAGCGATGCATGGGCGTCCTCTTCTTCCCGGGGTGACAGATCTGGGGCGCCCCATGGCTGGCTGCCCTCCCGAGGGTGCTAATTTCCATCACCCTGGCACGGTGCTGGTTCACCCACCGGACGGTTACTGACTTTTCCCTTCCGCTCCGCCTCCCAGTCTGTAGGGAGACACAGCATCCATCCGTGCTTCTGGCCGCTAGGTACAGCCTCTGCCAGTGGGGTTTCCTGTGTCCTGTACTTCCTCCATATTTCCCAGGGGGCCCTCAGCATTCTGTTCCATCCTTTGCCCCATCAGCCTGTCTCTGTGTCTCCCATCATTAAAATGGACTCATTCATTACTGCTTTTAATGGTTTAACGGCACTTCATTATTTCGATGCTCAACTTGTCCCAGTAGGACCTGGCCAGTAGGAATCGCTTCCATCTGACTCCTGTGTCTTTGTGGCATCATTGTTAAAATGAACTTGCTCACTTTCTGACATAATAAGATGCTCTGGGCCCCAAGTGTAGGACCTTGGCCCCACATTTGAGGAGCCCAGGCTCCTTTTAGTGGAGTGGTATCCGAACCCGAGGCCTGGGTGCCAGCTGTGCCCGTGTGCTGGTCCTCCTGCCCCCACTCTCGAGTTCGGTGCGAGGTCCGATGGGCCGAGGTAAATTTCTTGGTGTCTGTGGGTGATTTGACCAAATTAGACCCCAAGCATCTCTGACTGTTAACGAGTCCCCCCTGATTTTACTGTTTATTTGTTTTGATTCTGAATTTAGTCCAAGAACCACAATTGTAAATGTGGCTCTGTCTTAGGGTTTCTATTCTCTCTTGAAGCAGCCATCATTTTTCATTCAATCATGTAAAGATTTTTTTAAAGCTTCCCCCTCAGTTTTCCCCCAAAAGTAATATATTTTGCAAAGTACAGAAAAGTGCCAGGAAGAAGAAGAAAAAATTACCTATCATTTCACCACACAGAGGAAAAAAACTATTAACCTTATTATATAAATGTTAGAACTATATTTTTAAAATTTAATACTGAAGTTCTCCTTTCTAAATACACTTCCTTAACGCTCAGACCTTCGATACCCAATAATTTATATTCCAAGTGTCTTGAGACTTGATAGTTTTATATTGGATGTTAGCTTATTGACATTTGGAATTACAGTGTTTTCCAGATTTCTTCCAAAATTAGTAGTTTAGTCTTTTTCCCCTGCAGTTCTTTGATCAGGCATTGTCTTCCATCTCTTTTTGGTGGGCCCAGAGAATCTGTCTAAGAAAGAGCACTGTGGAACGTGGCTTTAGATGTTTTCTTAAAGTGATATTTTCCCTAGCTTTACATTTTGAACTACCCCTTTTCCCCTGTTTTTTTTTTTGCAGGAATGAAAGACAGCCATTACCAAGAATACTTTTCTTCTATTGGCTGATTGTCCAGCAGTTCCTTACTATGAGTGAGGGATTTTTCTCACGGAATTTAGGAATTTTAGTCCTTCCTCCCACTTCCGAACAAGGAAACTGGGGCTTAGAATGGTTATGTGGTTCCCATGTGTCCTGTGCTTCTTGTTGGTGTAGCTGGGATGAAAACACAGGCCTCCTCACCTGTACCTCACTGTTCTTGTTCGCTAGTGTTTAAAAATTCCAGTGTAAAATGTAGCATGTGTTTCTTCTCCTAATTTTATTCTCCTAATTTTCTTCCCTTCAGCGTAGATTTGCTACGTGCTTCGTTCTCTTGCCTTTTGAAAAAGATGAAAGGCAAATTTAAGGGAAGTATACTAACTTTTATCATGGAATGCTTTTCTTATGGCTGCATTATAAATTCTTGAAAATAAAGTGTCTAATGGAAACATTTAATGAGAAAGTAGGGGCTCTTATCAGTGTGTCCTGTCCCCCCCCACCGTTTTTCTTTTTTTCTTTTAGTGAATAGACCATTTAAACTAAATTAAGTAAAGGATATAAATTCTGTTGTTTCAGTTTTAATATTTCATGACTGATTTTATAGATGAAATTATATTTTACAATAAATAGGAAGAAGAATTTATACAGCCTGTTCTGTTTGATGTGAAACAGCAAATCCCATTTCTCTGTAGCTGTAAAGAAAATTCATTATAATGTCTTTAGTTATAAGAGATGGTTTCATTGTGATTAGTTACACTGATAATAAAACAACCTTTTCAAATGGCATAAGATACAAACGATCCTATGTGTCTGCTTTTAATGGCATTGAATTTTCCCGTTCTCTGTTTCACTCATAAAATCTGCATTCCTTTCTTCTATCCTATTTTCCTGTCCCAATTAAAATTTTCTTTCTTAAAAAAATTTTAAAACAATTAGGTAGAAATGGTAACAAAACATTGATTTTAAAAACACTTTTTGAAAGGAGATATATTAAATTTTAACATCTTGTATAAAATCTTTCTGGCTACAAAAGATTCATTTGTCAGAGGTGGTTGATATAAGATCGTCATAAAATTAACTGTATTACTGGATCAATGTACTGTATTTGCAAAATAGTACTTGCAGTGTAAGAAGATTAAAAAAAAAAAAAAGAAATAGCCAGGTGAGAAGGCTGAGCTAATTTTATAGTTTATTTTCCTCCATGAGTTGTTTTATATTGCCTTTAATACATCTTCACACATAGTGTTGGAATGGTGGGACTCTGATAATGGAAGGGCTGATCTGTTTATTCTCTTATGGTCACCGTGGTTTGATCCCTTAGTCTGGTTTATCAGTGATTGTTTTAGCTCTAACTTAAGCACTAGGCACACACTGTAATTTTTAACTTGCAGGCAGAATTGAATTGGATATTTGAAATCGAACATGGGTATCCCTGGAATAGAAACAATATTCTTCTCTGATGTGAGTGGGGATTGTTTTCTCCATGTGACTGGGCGTGGGAGCTCCCGGTTCCAGCCGCCGGTGTCGGTGTGTCCTTGGCCTCTGGCTGGGGAAGGCTGTTTTAGGATTGAGCTAAACATGGCCTGTGAGATGCTCTGGAGGTGGAGCGTGATCAGGTTGGAGTCCTGTGGCCAGAGCCCCCACCCCTCCGGGCTGACATGCCTGTGGCGGGAGGGCCGGAGGGAGTGATGGTGGTCAGTGCGGCCGAAAGGCTCCGACTCACTCAGCGCCATGGCCTGTGCTGTCTGCGTGCTTATCGTGTGGCCGCCTCACCGGCTCGGGGGCTGTCAGCAGTGTGGGCGGCCAACATTTCTGGGCCTGGCTGGACAGGAACAAACTCATGGCTCCCGTGAGCTCCGAGGCAGGTCAGCTGCTGAGCAATTCCCGGGGCCTGGAAAAATGCATGTCTTCTTCCAAACAAGGAGGTTTTTCAGAAACATGAAGACGTTTTTTTGATTCCATACGAATCTAAATTTAAAACTCTCCACCTCATCTTTTTATTAGTTAGCTCTTTACTCACTCTTGATTTTATTATGTCAGTTTTTCATTGTAAGTGGTATCAGACCTGATTTTGGTAGTGGGAGAGGCATAAATCTAAATGTCAGTTTAAGTTCTGGATCTTACAGAGGTTCGGTAGCAATTCTGCTCTTCACGTTCGTTTTAAACTACATACCTCATTTAACACTCCCTGACCTCCCTCTGTGTACCTTAGTACCACGGGGCTAGGCCGAAAGACTTTTGCTAAAGGTTGGAGCATATAGGAAAAGAAATATGTATGAAATACATATGCAGGAGAGGTGAACTTGAGCCTTATCTGTTCTTGACATGGTGAAAAGGAGAGAGGCATTCTGTTAGTCATTTGTTGATACATACGCGATTACGTCAAGAATTAGTGGCTTACAGCAACAAGTGTTTATTCCCTCACAGTTTCTGTGGGTCGTCGGGGCTTGGGAGTGGGCTTCACTCGGTGGTCCCAGCTCCCTACAGTGGGCCTTCCTGACTTCTGCAGGTCAGCCTTTCTGATCTCCACAAAGGAGTTGAAAGCACGGCTGGGAGTTTTTATACACGCCCGTGTGTGCACACCTGCCCTGCCACATCCGCGTATCCCCTGTGTGATTTTGCTGGTGGCCCAGTGCCAACATGCGCTAACTTCACAGTGCTTACGCCCTAATTTGGGTGAGTCTAGAGGGGTGAAGAGTGGGGTGCGTGGGAGGGACGCAGAGAGAAGGTGGTTTCTTGTGTGGTTGGCCTTGTCTACTGGTGAG